ATCACCACTGGAAGTCACCTCGTGTCACCAATCGGCCAGTGCACCGCAAAACTTGAAATCTCTGCGTCTGCCTTCGTAGCACCTTTCCTTGTGCTGCCCAACTGTTCCCGACCTGTTGTACTAGGAATGCATTTCCTTCAGAAGTATGGAGTGGTCTCCATACTTTGCGATTTGTTCGTAACTTTCGCTAACTGTGTTTATACTGATTCGGATGACGCGGAAGAACATATGCAGGTGCCTTTACGCGTTGTTGACGACCCTGTAACGTTGCCACCTCGTAGCAGCGCCTTCGTCCTTGTTGAGGGCCCACAGGAACAAACAGGCACAGGCTTCGCCGAAGGCAACGTCGCCTTGCTACTGGGTCGAGAGGTCTCCCTAACTCGTGGTATGGTAGAGCTCCGAAACAGACGGACTGCAATCTTAGTGACCAATTTCAGCGGGGAATACAAGAATTCCGCCAGACGCACCACCATAGCCCAATGGGAAACCCTCGATGATTTCAGCATCTGAGCTTCGATTACGACACACTCTACAGATCAAAGCTGTGATGTAGCCTTTACGAACCACATCAACGTTAGTCAACAGTTGGTGTAAGACGAGTGGCATAGACTTTTCAGCTTTCTGTCATTTTTAGCGACTGTTTTGCCACTACATCGAAGGTCCGGCAGGCTCCGCTAACCAAACACGGAATCATCACTGAGCCAACCGTCCAACTGGTGCGTCAACACGATTACCGCGTATCACAAGAAGAACGGGATGCTATTCGTCATCAAGTCAAACAAATGCTCGATGACAACGTCACTCGACCTTAAACCAGTCCGTGGGCGTCACCTGTTGTATTGGTTAAAAAAAAGATGGCTGGCTTCGATTCCCATCACCCACCGACAAGACGGCCGAGTGTCAATTTCTCGGCCTCTGCACCTATTACAGGCGTTTCGTGAAAACTATATGTGGAGTTTAACGTCCCAAAATCACCTTATGACTACGAGAGACGCCGTAGTGGAGTGAACTGGAAATTTAGACCACGTGGGGTTCTTTAACGTGCACCCAAATCTGAGTACACGGGCCTACAATATTTCCGCCTCCATCGGAAACGCAGCCGCCACAGCCGGGATTGGATCTCGCGACCTGCGTGTCAGCAGCCGAGTACCTTAGCCACTATACCACTGTGGCGGGTCCTGGTCATTTCTGTTTGCGCAGCGTTATGGCCACTGGAGATTTTGACGGTAATTGTGGCCAAGGGTTTCTGGTTTTCTGTTGCAAGAACTGTCTACTTCCCTTCTTCAGCCCCCAAAAGCCGGGGACCAAATTCAGGCCCTTGTAGAAAGCACAGCATCTTATCATTTTTTTTGGCATTCATGGTGAAGTGCCTTCTTCAGATTCGATCAATTTGGGTAAAACTGAGCCTCCCCACCCCCTAATCACAAACCCTGGGCCCGCCTGTACGAACACACTCACCAGCCTACAAGATGACATCCACAGATTTCTTCCATATTTATGACGACTGGTCTAGAGGAACTTCATTTACTCAAAAACACAGTGTAGCTCTGTTCTACCGTTGTATTTATTTATTTTTTACATTTCTCAACCAGTTGGGCACTGAGTATAGTGTTTCATATAGGGGAGTACGAACATTAGCACATTTTTTTTCTCTGTACAACACCACGCTTCATCTTATTTCGCTTGTAGTGGCTGAATTTTCATATCTCAGTTTTGAAGGTCTGGCGCCCATTCAGCCACCCTTGTGTTTTGAAGGCAAAATACACAACACCGCGTACAAAAAGAAAATAGTTTCTTTCTCAACTTCAGTACACTTCCTACAAGCACTATCTCCTACTCTACAGTTATTTTTTTTTCATAGAAGACGTGGAATGCTAGCACTAAGCGTTGAGCTATAATCTCATGATCTCGCGTTTTTTTTTTATTGTGAGTGCATGGTATTACAGTATATCAGCCCAGAAATCTTCAAAAGCCCTTCTCAAATTCTTGAAGACAACATCACTGAGCGTCCGCCTATGAAACCCTGCATATATATATATATATATATATATATATATATATATATATATATATATATATATATATATATATATATATTTATATATATATATATATGTGTGTGTGTGTGTGTGTGTGTGTGTGTGTGTGTGTGTGTGTGTGTGTGTGTGTGTGTGTGTGTGTGTGTGTGTGTGTGTGTGTGTGTGTGTGTGTGTGTGACGCTATGATGACTGGGAGACGGGGCTTGGCTCATACGCCATGTTTATTCTATTCTGACTTCTTCCTTCTCAGCTTCTACCAACCATCGCTACCTTCTTACGTTACAGGATTCACCCTCCCCCCGAAAGGAGGCATGAATTACGAACAAGAAAAGTAAACAAGGAGAGGTCGAAAAGTCACAAATGTCAAAATTCACTATTGGTTCTATGCTCCAGAGGAGCTCCGTAAACTTTCAAAGACTTCAGGAGAGAGTGCTGCAGTCCGGTTAACACAGGAGTTTGCGTGGGCGAGGCTGACTGTGGCGTTCTGGAAAAGATAACCACGTCTTGCACAACTGCACTAACCATTACACGGCTTCAGCAGCTGCGAAGATCGAACGAGGTTGGACGTCCTTGTAGCCTTTGAAAGTCAGACGTCGTACGCACCGAATTTTCTGTCGTGAGCGCTGTATTTTGTGTCATGGCTGAGACAGAAGCATTGCTTCCAGCTTGCGTTAGCTAGAACCGAAGCTGATAATGTGATGTCTGTGTTCCTGCATTTTGCAAAAGGTAGCGTTCAGTCTGTTTCGTGGTTTTCTGTGGGGGTATTTCCGTTGGTAGGATTGTACATGATGCCTTGATATCTGGTACAGAAAACTTCCTTGACGTTTTCTTCTACGAATATATGGTCTTATTTTTTGTCGTGAATGGTGCAATCCCGGTGCTTCTTACTTGCGTGTTTCTTGACAGACTGTGACGGAGTGCCTGAGTGCTTGCGGTGTGCCAGCAGTGCTTCCGCGTCTTTCTCGGAGTTTCCTGTGGTGTTGCAGTCGGTGTATTAGCAGGCGCAGGGAGTGTCTCTGGTGGCTTTTCTTTGTGCAAAAGTGCCTGGTGTGTTGAAGTGGTCTTTGGTTTGGAGATCTTATTTTCTGATTTTCTTCAATTGGTGAGTGCGCATCTACTGAATTCCGCGTTCGTCGATGCTTTTGTGGTAGTCTATCTCGTTGTCGCATAAGTTTGTGGACTTGGCTGTGCTTGCTTTGCTGATGTTGCTCAGCAGATGGCTGTAGTAGAGCCTCTTCCGAAATGGGGCATTCATTTCCCTCGCAAGTTGACGTGTCCTGTAGACAGCTGATACATGATAATCTGGTTTCTTGCTTGTCGGGCATGTTTAATAATGTGGCACCATTGCTAGCATGCTCTTCAGAGGCTTTGGTAAGGTGGTCCAGTATGGGCGCTTCTGACAGACAGCTGCGTGCGAGGTTCGATGTATGCATTATTTCTGGATTGTTTCAATTCTTGGAGCTGTGAGCACTGGATGAGGATACCACAGGTGACGTGGCATTATTCGGTTCGAACTGCACAGTCTGCTGAGCCATATAAGCAAAGTCTTGTGATGAAAAACACCTTTTAGAGTCGTCATGGGGTGGTTGGGTATTTTCCGAATGCGTCGATAGTTCATCTATTGTGAACACGGTGTCCTTTTAAGAGCACCCGAGGAGCTGCGTGATGCAAAACCGGGTGGCAGGCTATGTATGCGAGACGAAGGATGGAGAGTATCATATGGTTGAGCAACGTCTCGTGTCATATACTCAAGCAATGACTTTGGAAGTGTCGTCTTGCGTGCAGAAAAGAGGCCCGCTCGACGGTTGTGTTTTTTCCCGAAATACGCTTGGTCGCCTGTCAGTGTACTCGTGTTCGACTTTGTGTTGTGGTAGTAGTCGATTCATGCTGGGCGTTCGTAAGGTTGAATACTGCTTGTGAAAGTGACAACTGAGTTGCCTGTCGATGGTTGGTTATAAGCGAGTCTTCGTCATTGTATTCTTGAAATCAGATGGTCATTTCTCCTTTAATCTTGTTCCATGACTCGTCATTTTGAAATATGTGGGTGAGGTAGAATTCGAAAGCCTCACCGGAGATGTAGCCGGTAAAGTTGATGACCCTTTATTAGTTTTTAGCACCACTGACGGTAAGTTGAACAAAACTGTCAATGTACGATCGACTTGAATCCTTGGAGAGCTTTTATATGTTTATGTTATATGTTAATTATATATGTTTACTATATTGTATAATATATGTAAGTGAACCTCTACATCCACTTTTTGGACAGATTTTTTTTATTATTACAGCTGTTATAAACTCTGTTTTGGTACCTACCGTTAGGATGCAAGGCATCTGTTAGCGTGACTTCACCAGTCAAAGCGTTGATAGCGAAGGGCGATGACTGGTGTGGCAAGAGCCTCGACCCAACTCGAGGTTTGGCTGATACCAGGTTATACTGAAGAGGCGGCAGAGACCTGGAATGCTCTGGGGCTGCCTCCAACCCTCCCGTGAACAGCACCAGAGGCACGACGACGGCGCTCAATGTGTAGAACGGCCAATCCTTGGGAAAATCAGGCGGGAGCTCCACCGTGGTCTCTGGAACTGTACGAGGCCACTCGACCCGGTACGCTGCGTGATAAGATCCAAAAAAGATGCACATACTTAGGTACAACGAGCATCACCAACACGTTCCAAGAGCATATTCCATATAATTAGTTTTCTATCAAAAAGAGAAAGAGATAAAGGAAACACAGGAAGGTTAACCAGAGGATGACTCTACTTTCCTACGCTGTCCTTGGCAAGGGGAAGGGTGGGGGGGGGGGTGTTTGTTGCAGAATATTCTTTTGTATCGGGCCAGCCTATCGAAGAGGACGAAGTGGAGACCAGGCACGCTCGTGAAAAGGACAGCTTGAAATCCATGATGTTTTTGGTGCACGAAACTGTGTAGCCGTCCCTTAAGAGATTTTTCTGAACGTCACGACCATGGCAACCGCTGGCCCTTTTCGTAAGAAGCGCGGCCTAAACAGAACTGGTGTCACTCGAGTCTTAGCACTATTGACGGACCTCCTGCGGCAACAGGATCATGACGCCTCTCAGGTTAATGGGCACATAAATTACCTTGTGTACAAGGAGGCAATACAGTCGAAGCTCGATGGTGTCATCCTTGTGACCACAGATGGAGAAATTATTGACCATGAAATAGGAACAGTGCAGGAATACAACGAGAAAATTCTCTACACGATGTCGCGCGCCAAGTTCAGGCTTCAAGAACTTGAGAGGGCGGCCAGAACGCAGACTCAAGCAACTGAGCCTGGGCACACCTACCTCAGATATCTGAACTCCGCCGACGCAGCAGGCCAGGTGAAAAAGCACAGTCAGCGTTCAGTGAAACTACCGAAGCTACAGATATCAACTTTTGATGGCAGTCTCCATAGATGGCAGTCTTTTTGCGACAATTTTGATGCTACTATCCACAAGAACACTGAGCTGCCACTCAACGAAAAATTTAAGTACCTCCTCACCTACTTAACTGAGAGCGCAAAGCGAGCTGTCGGAGGCATCCGTCTACCGAAGCTAAATTCCGACCCTGCAATCAAGAACCTAACGGATCGCTTTGGACACCAGGATCTGCTTGTGAACGAGCATGTTGATCACCTCCTTGCGGAAAGCCTCGAGAAAAGCTCGTCAGAGTTCTCAAAGCTTCGTCTGCTTCATGATAATGTGCAGTTCCACGTTATTGCCTTGGAAGGCTTCTGAGTTGCGGCCGACCAGTACGCCGTTGTCTTAAACCTTGTCTTAATGCGATGCTTGCCAGAAGATCTCGGCCTTATGCACAGACAGAAATCTAAGGAATCAAACTGTGGCTCCAGAATCACCGGAACACCTGAAGATTGAACGCTGCTAGCCAAGTAATTACTAACATTTCTCCGCATTCAACTGGAAATCCGGGAGGAGAGCCGGTTACGGTCTCGTCGTGCGTCGCAAAACGAACCCAGGACCCACATATCTGAAGAAATGTATGCCGTGCAATGCATACCATCAGTGTCAGCACTAACCGGATTTAGATGGGCTGTTAGACTGCCGTGCTCACTATATCAAACCAACGATCGTGCTATCGCTGTCTGCAACGCCAACCTATCTGCTCAGGAGAAGTGAGAAAGACTGTAGTACGACAATTGTTGCTTTCGCTGCGGAACACACAATCACATCACCAGATTGTGCCGAAAATCTATCGGCCTCAAGTGTGGTAGCTGCCAGCGGAGCCACCTGACGATTCTCTGCGAGTTATCCCGGCCAGTGGGAATCTTGACATGTAAATCTTGACATGTATGTCATGATTTACATTTCATGGTCTTACTTCTCTTGGGGCAGTTTCGCTCTCATGACACATTGCAAAAGTGTTATGGCATGGCATGACTGCATGGCAAACACAAATGACCGTCTCTAACGTGCAAATCATGACATGCATCTCATATAAGTAATGGCTACACACCACGCTCATGGTGTGCCCGCGATCGTTTCGCTAGCTTCACATACACCAAATTTGGTATTGTGGGACGTGAATGGATGGCAAAGGTATGTGTCTGATTCGAACAAGATAATCATGAGATGGGTATCATATAAAAAGAATACACGTCATGCTCAGGATGCGCTCGGTGTCGTGGCGCTAGCTTCACATGTACGAAATTTGGTGTTTCGTGACGTGAATGGACGACGAAGGTAAATGACACGTCCAAGCATAGTAATCATGACATGCGTGTGATGTAACGCGCATGATACGAATACGCTCATAGTGCGCTCGTGGTCATTTTTCTAGCTTCACATATACCAAGTTTGGTGTTACTTGACGTCAATAGATGACGAAGATATATGAGTGGTGGAAACATGATAATCATGATATGCATTTCATGTAAGAACATGATTACATACCGCGCTTATGATGCGCTCGTGGCTGTTTCACTAGCTTCACATTTACCACATTTGGTATTACGTGACGTGAATGGACGACAAAAGTGAATGACACATCCAAACATGATTATCATGATATGCGTGACATGTAAAACATGACTGCATGCTACGCTCATAGCACCCTCGCGGCTGTTTTGCTAGCTTCACAAATACCTTATTCGGTAATACATGACGTTAACCGAGGACGAACGCAAATACCAGGCGCAAATATGATAATCATGACATGGAAGTCATTATGTACGGGTATTTACATGCCTGCTATTGTATGGGCTGGTATTGCGAACGTTAGTGGTGCCGTCGTTACACGACTATAACAACATACTTGCATCTTATCTGGATACCTGAGTGCGCATAGCATTTCTACGTGTGCTTACTGTGTACTACTTCTATGAGGCTCGTAACGTTGTGTTAATTTTAAAATGACATATCCAACTTCCTCATTCGTGCTTCGCATATCATCGATTCCCACTGTACGTGGGGTATGTCATTTTTATTCTTTTTATTTATATCGACCCACTGAAGCCCGAACACATGTGATATATATCCTCCAAAAGTGATGTGGCAACCACACCTCGTTGTGAAAAAAGTACAATGAACAAGTCACAATAAATGAGTGCTGATTCATAATTCTTGCTTTCTATTTCCAAATTCAGCTTGTAACATAACAGCGCAAATATTAGCTCCACACGTCGCTAATTCTAAGAACATCTTTGTCCACGCACATTCTATTTTTACACATTCATTCGAGAAGCTATAGCTTCTCGAATGAATGTTTGCCATCTCATATATATACGAGTTGGCGAACAAAGAATAAAATCAATTTTCGTTTTATCTTTCCACTCCAGCGAAACACCATTTTCAATATCACGAGGACCGAATGAAAGGTGAGCAGCTGAAACAAACGGCATCAACTATACTCTATCCAAGTGGAACCTTTAAAAAGCAATATAATCACAATGTAGTACGCCGTAAATCTCGAAATGGTTGCCGTCTTTCTGAGTCGCATTTCATTGGGTAATCATAGACCTTCAAGAAAAATGTAACGTTACTAAGTTCTCGTGTTCGTTAGCCTTTAGAGTAAATAATATTATAAAATCTAGATAGATATAATGCTATGAATATTTTCGTTATTTTTTATTAGGATGGTGAGTGAATGGTTGTACAGTCCGACAACAGTATTATAGAACTGAAAGTTGGGCCAGTTGGGGTTTCATGCTTGGGATGTAAAAACAGCGCAAAAATATAGACAAGGACTGAAAAAGTGACGAACATGTTGCCAGTTCAACGCCCTGTCGTCTCTTCTTCACTCCTTGCCTCTTGCGCCCCGCCACGGTGGTTTAGTGGCTAAGGTACTCGGCTGCTGACCCGCAGGTTGCGGAATCGAATCCCAACTGTGGCGGCTGCATTTCCGATGGAGGCGGAAATGTTGTAGGCCCGTGTACTCAGATTTGGGTGCACGTTAAAGAACCCCAGGTGGTCAAAATTTCCGGAGCACTCCACTACGGCGTCTCTCATAATCAAATAGTGGTTTTGGGACATTAAACCCCACAAAATGAACATCCTTGCCTCTTGCGCGGTTTTCGCATGTCAGGTTCGGCAACGGCTTAAAACAAGGGGGGGGGGGGGGGGGGGTAGTCAAATACACAACCTTTCGGTCTGCGACAATAGAGGCCAGGTACGCTACCTTCTGCGCCATGGCCACATACTCTGGAAGCACTACGAACACAACTTTTATATCTAATCGTGTTTTTTTTTTCTTGGGGCTTTTGGTGAAATGAAGTAATGCATGATGACCGCGACATTCCCGATTAGTTCTTAAACTCTTCGTTTCTACGCATCCGTCCCATTCGGCACATTTCCGATTTGAGAAGTGCCATTTTGTCGATGCAATAACACAACACCAGGTGCCCACATTACCCTTAGCGTTGGCCTCGCTCATAGCGTCTGTTCGTGCCAAAAATAGCTCTGCGTCGAAGGCTGTAAGTATACGTTCTTCACTTAGGCGTGCCCGGCGAAAAATTCCGGCCGGCCAACAGCGTCGACACGACGCGCTTTGCGGGTCCTTCTAATCTGTCAGTGGCGTTTATTCGGCTGAATTATTTGAGTGTCCGAGCTCCTGCGAACACCCAACTGAATCTGCCCAATAAATATATCATGCCTTGAATACGGCTATACCTTATCCTAAGTTCGGTGTCGATCCAGTGACGGCTGTCCTGGCTGTCACATCACTTTCTCTGATCCAATTCTCACTGTTGACTACTACAGCTAGCTACCACAAGTGTTTATGACTACGAAGGTTTGTTTATTCATTAGTCATGAGCCTTATGTCATGGGAGTGGAGATGTATCACTAAGCGATGGTGTGGGTGCGTTCATGTTAACTGGTGCCATAGCTGTCAAACTTTAAAATGTGTTGTGCAAGCTCTCTTATATGAATGTACCCTAAACGTTCAACTAATTTTGTGAGGACAAGCTTCATCTTTGTGTTATACCGTATCCTATGACGGAGGGATCAATCGTGTGTGTGTGTGTGTGTGTGTGTGTGTGTGTGTGTGTGTGTGTGTGTGTGTGTGTGTGTGCGTGTGTGCGTGTGTGCGTGCGTGCGTGTGTGTGTGTGTGTGTGTGTGTGTGCGCGTGCGCGTGCGCGTGTGTGCGTGTGTGTGTGTGTGTGTGTGTGTGTGTGTGTGTGTGTGTGTGTGTGTTTTCTGAAGAACGAGTAGAAAGCCTAGAAGTGATAACAGTAGTTAACAAGATGTAATGCATATTCCTTCACATAGACGTGAGGTCAGCCAAGATTATAATCATCCCTCGTTCTGTACACCCAATTTAATATCTCAGAAAGGAAGAAACATTTACCAAAATTGGCCGTCATGGAAAGTCGGGCCTCATGAACAGGAGACAGATTCGCAGTATGTTATTCCTCCACTTTCAATTTGATTTATATATATATATATACACCTCTTCATGTTGTGCTGGATTTCCTGACATTTTAGGGTTGTAAAGGGCGGTCAGAGACGCCTCTTCCATGGCTGAGGTACTTTTCTCCTCTATCCAATGCAGCGCACGATTTTGAGCGCTAAATGAGCGATTAGGCAAAATGATTAAATAACCAAACTACTAGAACGATAATGCTCGCGGTGTTCTGAATTTAAAAACTGGCTATATCAGACACAATAACGTTCTTTTTCAATGCCTAAAAGAGGGTGGAAACGGCTGATAGGGTGTTGAAAATTAATACAGCTTCACACTATAGGAGTGAAGGAAGTGCGGAGTTAAGCATCCTTTGTTTTTCTTCAGCTTCGCTTTGTTTCTCTTTGTTTCTTCTCTTCTTTTTTTCTCTTTTTTCTCTCTTTATTTGATTTGATTCATTTTCACCTTTTTAGTTTCTTTCTGTATGTGTTATACTTCTTGCTTTTTTCTTTCATATCTCTAGTATTTTTCGCTTTCTTCCTCTTTTTTTCTATTTTTATAAGTGGTTTTGCCTGCGTTGCTCCAAGTGGACTAGTTGTTTTTGCTGATGATAAGTGATCATCATCAAGGCGCTCGAAGAACAAGAGGAAAAAGACCTCTTCGGTGGAAGAGCGCGCTCAATGTTATGGTGAATTAAGGCCTGACCACATGCACCCGTTGCAGCCGTCAGTGCATTGCATTTTTACGCGGCACCGCACCCTCTCTCTATGAAGAGAGAGGGCGTATATCTTCGCGTGACTCCGCGTCCTCACTCTTCATAGAAAGATGGTGCGGCGCTACGTCAAAATGCAACCCACTGACGCGCTACAACGGCTATGT